GAGCTTTCGGTCGTCTCCTTGAAGAGAGGGATGCTCTCCTTGTCTCAGGTCCAGTCTGGGGTTCTTATACTCCCTGGGCCCCAGTATATTGGTTGAGATAAGGATTTGGTGACGGTTTTGGAGGTAAACATGGGAAAGGGCTTGCTGAGTGTCTAACCAAGGAATGAACTAGGTGGCCAAGTTGGCCAGTGTTTTTTTTTGTGTGGTTTTTTTTGAGAATTAGGAGTCTTCACTCTGTTGCCTGGGCTTAGGAGGAGTTGCCAGGCATCAGCCCGTTAGCTCACAGACTGGAAAACTCCTTGGGCTTCAGCGAGCAATCCGCCCGCCTCGGCCTCCCAAAGTGTTAGGATTACAGGTGTGAGCCACCACGCCTGGCCCTTCCTGGGTTTTTAGTAGTTTGGCTGAGCAGGACCTGCCATCACACTCTTCATCTCCCTTAGAAACTGTAGCTTCCACAGTTCCTGTCTCTTCAATCCAGTGTAGTCTCCAAGCTTCTTCTTGATAATTCCTCTCTTAACAGTAGTCCCTCACTATTGCCTGTCACACCTAAGGCCAGGAGCCTGAAGTTGCCCTTAGCTGGCAGTATGGGGTATCTCACTTGCCTCCCTCCAGTTCTTCTGAAAATTGGGGACAGGAAATTATCCTCTGGCAGAGTGGGGAAGGATTGCTTATGTTTGCCTCCTTTTCTCAGGGGAGATCTTCGAGCTGAAGGCAGAGCTCAACAGTGACAAGAAGGAGAAGAAGAAGGAGGCAGTGAAAAAAGTGATTGCATCAATGACCGTGGGCAAAGATGTCAGGTGTGCAGGAGTAGGCTGGGTGGTAGCAGAAGCTGGCTCTCGGGAGAGTATAGCTTGTGTCCATTTCAGATCTTTCCTTTACAGGTATCTAGGAAACTGTGTCCCCTCACGTGGCTCCCTTCATGAACCTCCTTTCCCAGCAGGAGATTTTGTTTACACAGGAGTCACGAGCTCAGAGGCTGATGGGTCAGGTGGTAATGGAGCCAGTGAACTGGACTAGGTTGAAAAGGCAGCAGGCAATGGAGTGAGTGTGGCAGCAATCCTCTACCGCAAACTCCAGAGGATTGCTGCCGACTGGGGAAGAGGACCCAGTGCGGCCAGGTCTTCTGGCTTTTAAAAGAATGGGAAATCTGGATTTTTTATTTTAAACCTCTCTGTTTTAAATGGCCAGATGATATTGAGCAAACACTGTGTGGCCCAGGGAAAACACGACTGCAGATTGGATTTCTCTAATTTGTCACCAGTTTGCCACCTCTGGTTTGCACCTGCTGACCAGAGCAATTGGGTGCAGAATGGCTGATATACCTTTGCTCTTGCTTCCCACTGCTGGGAATGCCCGGTGACCTGGCTTGTTTTCCCATCTTTTAAAACCCATTCAAGGTCTGCCTTGCCCTAGTTGCCTTCTCTCATCACCCCAGCCTACTGCCCTGAACTCAAAGCATGTGTTTTGTATTCCTGTCACCCAGCACTAAATCTAGACTGTTCTCTTATGGGTACTGTGTTTACCTGCCCACCAGATTGTAAAGACTCCAATCCAGGGGACAAGAGTTTATGACAACTTAATGTTGCATGGTGTTTGAGAATCTACAAAACACTTTCAGATTTTCTCAGAAGTTCCGTACAATTGCCACATTGTGGGTAATGATGTTTTTACTGCCAGAGAAATAAGATAAAGGAGTAAAATGACTACCTATCAGTTGCATCATTTATGTCAGACCAAGGACTCAAGCCTAGCCCTTCTGAAATCCAAGTCCAGGCTGTTTTTGCCCATACCCTCTGCTCTGTGCCCTCATGGTGCCCAGCCCTGTGCCTTGTAGCCAGGGTGCTGACATGGAGCAGCTCCTCATCCAGGTACTATGACAGGATCACACTGCCCCAGGCTTCCCCATGCATCGCCCTATCGCATTGCCACCCTCAGCAAGGGACCTCCTGACAATGACTCAGGAGATGCAGCTATGCAGAGAGCAGCAAAGGGAGCAGGTGTCTGCTAGGAAAGCAGGCCACCTCCTAAGTCAGATTCCTTCCAGGACAAAGCCGCTCTCCTTCAACCAGAGCCCCACTGTCAGCTCCTCACAGAGGAAACATCTTTGTTCTTCTGTCTCAAAAGAGCTTGGTTTCCTGATGTGACAGACCCAAAAGAGCAAGTCAGGCTCATCACAGTTCTTCCTTCTCCCCCTTACCCTGCTCCCCACTCCCCGTTCTTCCTCATGTGTCATCATCCAAGGTGACACATCCATTTCAGCTTTAGCTGGTCTCCTGCCTGTTGGGATTCAAGAAGTTCACTTTGACTGTGTTGCCATGGCCTTGCCTGTAAAAGCATCAGAATTCAGCAGGAAGGTGATGGTTCTAGAAATAGAAAATTGATCTCTAACCATATTTCACATCTCAAGAGGGCCTGTGACTGCGACCCTGGGTACCATGTTGGGAAGTGTTCTACCCAGTAGTCATGAGCATGGACTTTGGATTCAGACCTGGCTCCTCAGGCAGGTTATTTGACATTTATGAACCTCAGTATGTCTTCTGTGAAATGGGGATAATCCCCAGGCTTCTCAGAGTGGTTAAATGAGATCAAGGATGTAAAGCTCTTAGAACCAAGCCTGATGTACAACATGGGCTCCATTTGTGCTGTGCTAGTTCTTATGAGTGCCAGGGCTGGCTCTTGTGGTGAAAGCAGCATGGTCCATCCCTGCTTCCTTATGACCTTCCAGAACCAGCAGCCCAATGTAAGGGGCCACGTTAAGTATCAGCAAAATCATTTTCATTTACTCAGCACCTCTCAGATATCAAGGACCAGGTATCTTAACTATATTGTCTCATTGAATTATCACAATGGGCTGGGCATGGTGGCTCATGCCTGTAATCCTAGCACTTTGGAAGGCTAAGATGGGAGGATCACTTGAGGCCAGAAGTCTGAGACCAGCCTGGGCAACATTGCAAGACCCCATCTCTACAAACTAATTTTTTAAAAATTAGCCAGGCACAATGGTGCACACCTGCAGTCCCAGCTACTCAGGAGGCTAAAGCTGGAGGATCACTTGAGCCCAGGAGTTCAAGGTTACAGTGAACTATGATCACACCACTGTACTCCAGCCTGGGTGACAGAACAAGACCCTGTTTAAAAAAAAATGAAAATTATCATGAGGGTCCTGTGAAGTGAGTTTCTGTTGTACTTTTCTAGCAAATGAGGAAACTGAGACTCGAGAAGAATACCATACAGCTAGCAAGAGGCAGCTCTGGGTTTGATGGACTCCTGAGCTCATGTTTGAACTGTGTGAAAAAAATCTAAGGACTTTTTTTACTTTTAAAATCACCCTTTGGGATTCCATTTCTACCCATAGGTGTTTGTTGGTAGCATAGCATCACTGATACCACCCTCCCTTTTACCACGAGTCCTGTCTGTCTTTCTCTTCCCTCCTACCCACTGTCCCCGACTCCCTGATTCTCAGCCTGAAAATCTTCCTCTTCCTTTCTTTAGCCTTCCCCATGCTGACACCATCTTGACCTTTCAGTGCCCTCTTCCCCGATGTGGTAAACTGTATGCAGACGGACAACCTGGAGCTGAAGAAGCTAGTGTATCTGTACTTGATGAATTATGCCAAGAGTCAGCCTGACATGGCCATTATGGCTGTCAACACCTTTGTGAAGGTGAGCAGGAGCTTGGTGGGAGTGGGGCATGAGGTGTGTACTGCTCCATCTCCCCTCAGTCTCTTGGGGTGTGGCCTGGTGGCCCCAGATGGAAACACTGAAGCTCCTTTCCAGACTGCCTGCCTCCTGCTGCCCAGCCTGAGGGCCTCTCCCACCAGCAGAGGGCTCCCTCTTGCAGACAATCAGGTGCTAAAGACCCTGCCTGACTCATCCCATGTGAGGTGGTACAAGGCCTGTTGATCCCCTCATGTCCCTGGGGGTGGCCATGGCCCTGCATACTCTGCCAGGGAAGTTTTCAGCAGACATCTGAGAGCTTCTGTGTTCCCTTCTAGGCTGCTCCTTTCTACATTTTCTGTAGAAAGTGTAGCTCTGTACACCTTCAGAACCTTAGCTCCACTAGCTCTGTCAGTGCTCAGATATGGGAAAATGAGGGTTTCTGTGTCCCAGTGGAAAGACTGAGGGTTGTGGTACTAGATGGATGTGGGTTTGAATCACGGCTCTGCTCTGTGACTTCAGGTGAGCTCCCACCTTCCTGAGAGCCTCAGCCTCCTCACCTGGGAAACGGGGGCCAGTATTGTACGTCTGCTGTGAGGATCAAAGGAGACAACGTGCATAGCCCTGCACAGTATCTGGCAGATGCTAGGTGCCTGTTATATGGCATTTACTTTTGGTACTGTCACCTGCGGTTGCTGGAGATCCCACAGCAACTGTCTGGTCGTTCAGCCCAGCAGTGCTCAGAGCTGCAGGTCAGGGAGAATTTGAAGCCACAGGTGGCTCATTCTGTCCCTTCCCCTGGCCTATGGCTTGTTCCCCTCAGGACTGTGAGGACCCTAACCCCCTTATTCGAGCCTTGGCTGTGCGGACCATGGGCTGCATCCGCGTCGACAAGATCACAGAGTACCTATGCGAACCACTCCGGAAGTGCCTGAAGGATGAGGATCCATACGTGCGCAAGACAGCCGCTGTGTGTGTGGCCAAGCTTCATGACATCAACGCCCAGCTGGTAGAGGACCAGGGCTTCCTGGACACCCTTAAAGACCTCATCTCAGACTCTAACCCCATGGTAAGCCACTGCCACCCACCATGCCATCTCTACCACCTCCTGGGTTGCTTGGGAAGACCTTGGCTTGACCCTCCACGAGGCAGCCCCTGGTTCCTAGAAGTCAGAGAGCCCTGCTGGGTGTATCACTTGTTCTTGTGCTTTGCGGTGGTTCAGGTACCATCTTTAGAGGGAGCTAGACCTGGATTCCCATCTCTGTGCCTCTGACTAGCTGTGAGAACTTGGGCAGGCTGCAAGCTGCCTACCCTTGCAGATCCCTCTTTTTTTTTTTTTTTTTTGGCGACAAGAGTCTAGCTTGGTTGCCCTGGCTAGAGTACCATGGCATCAGCCTAGCTCACACCAACCTCAAACTCTTGGGCTCAAGCCATCCTTCTGCCTTAGCCTCCTGAGTAGCTGGGACTACAGGTGCACACTGCTACGCCTGGCTAATTTTTTCTATGTTTAGTAAAGATGGGGTTTCCCTCTTGCTCAGCCTGGTCTCAAACTCCTGACCTCAAGTGAGCCTCTTTCCTAGGACTCCCAGATGGCTAGGATTATGGGCGTGAGCCACTGTGCCTGGATGGTTCTTCTTTTCTTTATCAGTAAGATGTATCTAATTGTGCATGGCTGGCGGGAGTGCTGTGAAGGTAACATGCGTGGCATGGTCTGGCACACAGTGGGTGTGCGATCAGTACTAGTGCCCTCCTTCCCCTTCCTGTCACTGTCATTGTTGCTGTCTTCTTACCAAGACCGTCTGCAAGTGCCAAATGTGAGTGAGGTGCTTTTCCCTTTCCCCACATCTTTATAGGACTATAGAGGGTCACCCTTGAAGTAGCATAGCCTGGGAGACAGGATGTCAGGATGTGGCTGGATGGGACTCTAGTCACTCATGGTGGTGACAGCAGTTTGGAGGGCAGTTTATCAGGACCTATTTAAAATGAAATACACAAATGCCTGGGCCCAGCCTTCCCCACTGTGTATCCTACAGAAACACTGAGCAACTGCCACAAATGGACACTGAGCAGCCAGTACAGGGATGGGCATCTGAGCAGTTTTTCACAGGGAAAAATTGAACACAGTGCAGAAACACACTTAAAAATAGCGCTCTAGGCCAGGCGCAAGGGCTCATGGCTATAATCCCAGCACTTTGGGAGGCTGAGTCTGGGGGATTTCTTGAAGCCAAGAGTTCAAGACCAGCCTGGGCAATATAGTAAGACCCCATCTCTACAAAAAATAAAAATTAGCCAGGTGTGGTGGCATGCGCCTGTAGTTCCAGCTGCTTGGGAGGCTGAGGCAAGAGGATTGCTTTGAGTCCTGGAGTTCGAGGTTGCAGTGAACTGTGATCATGCCACTATACTCCAGCCTGGGCAACAGAGTGAGGCCCTATCTCTAAACAAAATAATAGTATAACAGCTGCTCTAGTGGAAACGTGTTAAGGGCCCAGAGCTTCACCTGGCAAGCCCTTCTATTCTCCAGCCCCATCTGTTCCCAGCAAGTTCAAGGAGTTCTGCAGGAGTCTTCTAGTTCTGAGAAACACAATTGACAAGCAATGAAATGAACTGTTATAGCTGGTAGACAGAGGCTGTTGTGTTTAGGTAGCTGGGAGTGCTTTCTATTGCCAGACACTTGGAGGTAGATCTTTCTTATTTTTTAGATGGCAGGTATACTTATTTTACTTGAAGTTTGCAGAGGAGTTAGCAGGGTGAGTGCTTGGAGTGGGTCATATGGGTCCAGGTCCTGCCTATGGGGTCATATTCCTTTCAGTATGTTCCACCTCTGGCCAGCCAGCATCATTACCCCACTGCCCCCTGGCCTATGAGCAGTACCTCCAGCCTCTGCCCCTTCCACCCTCTTAACCAGGTGGTAGCAAACGCAGTGGCCGCCCTGTCGGAGATCGCCGAGTCTCACCCTAGTAGCAACCTGCTCGACTTGAACCCACAGTCCATTAACAAGCTACTGACAGCCCTAAATGAGTGCACCGAGTGGGGCCAGATCTTCATTCTGGACTGCCTGGCCAACTATACGCCCAAGGACGACCGTGAGGCCCAGAGGTGAGCAGGTTGCCCACTGCTTGCCAGCCCAGCCTGAGGACCCCCAGACCTGGTCCTCAGGGGCTTCCAACCATGAGCTGGGTCATAGACCTTAGTGGGCCCTTTTCCAGGGCCTTGCCCCACAAACCATCCTCAGACACGCCTCAAGGGAGGCCAGCTGCTTCCCACCTTTCCAGAACCTGGCAGTCAGTAGTGTTGCCTCAGGCAGCCAGCTTACTGCTCACTGTGGGCACAGGCAGGGCCTGACTTGAGAGCTGATGGTGACCCTGGTCACTTTGGCTGAGTCAAGGAGATGGGTAGCAGCAGAAGCCACCATTCATTGACTTATCAGTGGTGCCTGAGGCTCTGCTGCGTGCTTTCCGCACATTAGAGAATCTTTAAAGCAACTCTGAAGAAGGTCCTACCACCATCCCCCCTTTTATAGATGAGGAAACTCCAGCTTAGAGAAATGGAGGGAATCGTGCATTCATCTAGCTGTGACTCACCTGACTTTTGGTCTTAAGCAACACTATATTCTGCCCCACTGGCATGCCCTAGCAACAGATGGAAGGGAGGGAGTTGCACTCAAGGAATATTTACCACGTACCAGGCACTGTGCTCATCCTTTACCTTCATTATCTCACTTAGGCCCCTGGCAACTTTGTGAACTAGGCATCATCTCTATTTTATAGATGAGGAAACTGAGAGTCAGAGTAGTTTGAACCTGCTTGGGGTCTGTTAGCAGGCAGCAGAGCCAGGATCTAGATCTCTCTCCTACAGAAGACATGCTATTTTGATAACTAAAAACAGGATATTTTCCCTTGTCTATCTCTCCTGTGTGCCCCATTGGAACGGACGGACCCCAGCATCTGTGAGCGGGTCACCCCCAGGCTCTCCCATGCCAACTCTGCTGTGGTGCTCTCTGCTGTGAAGGTGCTGATGAAGTTCATGGAGATGTTGTCTAAGGACCTGGACTACTATGGCACACTGCTCAAGAAGCTGGCCCCACCCCTGGTCACACTGCTGTCAGCCGAGCCAGAGCTGCAGTACGTGGCCCTGCGCAACATCAACCTCATCGTGCAGAAAAGGTACTGGAATCACCATGCACTTATGCAGCATGCATCCCCGGGGGAGTTCTTCTGCTCGGAACAGGGGCTCTCAAGGGAAACAGACCTGTCACCATGCGGAAGTTTTAAAGCATAGCTTAACCCAGGGGTTCTCAATCACTGGTGACTTTGACTCCCGGGGTCTGGGGACATTTTTTTTTTTTTTTTGAGACAGAGTCTTGCTTTGTTGCCCAGGCTGAAGTGAGTGTCGTGGCATCAGCCTGGCTCACAGCAACCTCATACTCCTGGGCTCAAGCAATCCTTCTGCCTCAACCTCCAAGTAGCTGGGACTACAGGCATGCACCACCATGCCCGGCTAATTTTTTCTATATATATATTAGTTGGCCAATTAATTTCTTTCTGTTTATAGTAGAGAAGAGATGGGGTCTCACTCTTGCTCAGGCTGGTTTCCGAACTCCTGACTCGAGCAAGTTCCCTAGACGTCAGAAGAGCCCTGCTGGTGTCATCACTTGTTTTCGTGCTTTGTGGTGGTCTCAGTGGTACCATCTTTAGAGGGAGCTAGACTGGATTCCCATACTCTTGTGCCTCTGACTAGCTGTGAGAACTTGGGCAGGCTCAAGCTCCTCCCTTGCGAATCCTCTTTTTTTTTTTTTTTTTTTTTTTTGGCGCAAGAGTCCCTAGCTTGGTGCCCTGGCTACGAGTACCATGGGCATCAGCCTAGCTCACGCACCATCAAACTCTTGGCTCACAGCATCCTTCTGGCCGTTAAGCTCCTGAGTAGCTGGGACTACAGGTGCACAGCTGCTCACGCCGGCTAATTTTCTATGTTGTAGTAAAGATGGGGTTTCCTCTTGCTCAGCTGGTCTCAAACTCCTGACTCAAGTGAGCCTCTTTCCAGGACTCCAGAATGGCTAGGATTTGGGCGTGAGCCACTGCTGCCTGGATGGTCCTTCTTTTCTTTTTCTTTTTTTTTCTTTTAAAGCCAGTCTTCCCTTTTTTCTTCATCAGTAAGATCGTATCTAATTGTGCAGTGCTAGCGGGAGTGCTGTGAAGGTAACATTGCTGGCATGTCTGACACAGTGGGTAGTGCGATCGCTACTATGCCCTCCTCCTCCTTCCCTTCGTCATAGTCATCTGTTGCTGTCTTTCTTACCAAGACCGCTGCAAGTGCCAAATGTAGTGAGGTGCTTTTCTTCTCCCCACATCTTTTTAGGACTATACGAGGGCACCCTTGAAAGTAGCATAGCCTGGGAGGACAGGACGTCGATGTGGCTGGATGGGACTCTCGTCACTCATGTGGTGACGCGTTTGGAGGGCGTTACAGGACTATTTAAATGAATACACAAATGCCTGGGCCAGCCTTCCACTGTGTATCCTGACAGAAACTGAGCAACTGCCACAAATGGCACCTGAGCAGCCAGTACAGGGCTGGGCATCTGAGCAGGTTTTTCACAGGGAACAGTAAAAGCATCAGAATTCAGCAGGAAGGATGGTTCTAGAAATAGAAAATTGATCTCTAACCATATTTACACAATCTCAAGAGGGCCTGTGGACTGCGACCCCTGGGTACCATGTTGGAAGTGTTCTACCCAGTAGTCATTGACGCATGGACTTTGATTCAGACCTGGCTCCTCAGGCAGGTTATTTGACATTTATGAACCTCGTATGTCTCTGTGAAAATGGGGATAATCCCCAGGCTCTCTCAGAGTGGTTAAATGAAGATCAAGGATGTAAAGCTCTTAGCACAAGCTGGCGTACAGCATGGGCCACCATTTGTGCTGTGCTAGTTCTTATGGTGCCAGGGCTGGCTCTTGTGTGAAAGCAGCATGGTCCCATCCCTGCTTCACTTATGCCTTCCAGAACACAGCAGCCAATGTAAGGGGCCACGTTAAGTATCAGCAAAATCATTTTCATTTACGTCAGCACCTCTCAGATATCAAGGACCAGGTATCTTAACTATATTGTCTCATTGAATTGATCACAATGGGGCTGGGCATGGTGCCTCATGCCTGTAATCCTAGCACTTTGGAAGCTAAGATTGGGAAGGATCACTTGAGCAGAAGTCTGAGACCAGCCTGGGCAACATTGCAAGACCCATCTCTACAAAGCTAATTTTTTAAAAATTAGCCAGGCCACATGTGCACACTGCAGTCCAGCCTACTCAGGAGGCTAAAGCTGGAGGATCACTTGAGCCCAGGAGTTCACAGGTTACACGTGAACTATGATCACACCACTGTACTCCAGCCTGGGTGACAGACAAACCTGTTTAAAAAAAAAATGAAAATGTATCATGAGGGTCCTGTGAAGTGAGTTTCCTGTTGTACTTTTCTAGCAAATGAGAAACTGAGACTCGAGAAGATACCATACAGCTAGCAAGAGGCAGCTCTGGTTTGGATGGACTCCTGAGCTCATGTTTGAACTGTGTGAAAAAAATCTAAGGACTTTTTTTACCTTTTTAAAATCACCCTTTGGGATTCCATTTCTACCCATAGCGTGTTTGTTGGTAGCATAGCTCACTGATACCACTCCCTTTTCACCACGATCCTGTCTGCTTTCTCTTCCCTCCTACCCACTGTCCCCGACTCCTGATTCTCAGCCTGAAAATCCTTCCTCTTCCTTTCTTTAGCCTTCCCCAGTGCTGACACCATCTTAAGACCTTTCAGTGCCTCTTCCCCGAATGTGTAACTGTAGCAGACGGACAACCTGGAGCTGAGAAGCTAGTGTATCTGTACTTGATGAATTATGCCAAGAGTCAGCCTGACATGGCCATTATGCTGTCAACACTTTGTGAAGGTGAGCAGAGAGCTTGGTGGGAGTGGGGCATGAGGTGTGTACTGCTCCATCTCCCCTCAGTCTCTGGGGTGTGGCCTGGTGGCCCCAATGATGGAAACACTGAAGCTCCTTTTCCAGACTGCCTGCCTCTGCTGCCCAGCTGAGGGCCTCTCCCACCAGCAGCAGGGCTCCCTCTTGCAGACAATCAGGTGCTAAAGACGCCTGCCTGACTCATCCCATGTGAGGTGGTTACAAGGCCTGTTGATCCCCTCATGTCCCTGGGGGTGGCCATGGCCCTGCATACTCTGCCAGGGAAGTTTTCAGCAGACCATCTGAGAGCTTCTTGTGTTGCCCTTCTAGGCCCTGCCTCCTTTCTACATTTTCTGTAGAAAACGTGTAGCTCTGTACACCTTCAGAACCTTAGCTCCACTAGCTCTGTCAGTCTCAGATATGGGAAAATGAGGGTTTCTGTGTCCCAGTGAAAGACTAGGGTTGTGGTACTAGATGGATGTGGGTTTGAATCACGGCTCTGCTCCTGTGACTTCGGTGAGCTCCCACCTTCCTGAGAGTCAGCCTCCTCAACCTGGGAAACGGGGGCCAGTATTGTACGTCTGCTGTGAAGGATCAAAGGAGACAACGTGCATAGCCCTGCACAGTATCTGGCAGATGCTAGGTGCCTGTTATATGGCATTTACTTTTGGTACTGTCACCTGCGCGTTGCTGAGACCACAGCCTGTCTGGTTTTCAGCCAGCATGCTCAGAGCTGCGGTCAGGGAGAATTGAAGCCACAGTGGCTCATTCTGTCCCTTCCCTGGCCTATGGCTTGTTCCCCTCAGGACTGGGAGACCCTAACCCCCTATTCGAGCCTTGCTGGCGGACCATGGGCTGCATCCGCGGTCGACAAGACACAGAGTACCTGTGCGAACCACTCCGGAAGTGCCTGAAGGATGAGGATCCATACGTGCGCAAGACAGCCGCTGTGTGTGTGGCCAAGCTTCATGACATCAACGCCCAGCTGGTAGAGGACCAGGGCTTCCTGACACCCTTAAAGACCTCATCTCAGACTCTAACCCCATGGTAAGCCACTGCCACCCACCATGCCATCTCTACCACCTCCTGGGTTGCTTGGAAGACCTTGGCTTGACCCTCCACGAGGCAGCCCCTGGTTCCTAGAAGTCAGAAGAGCCCTGCGGGGGTGTATCATTGTTCTTGTGCTTGTGGTGGTTCCAGTACCATCTTTAGAGGGGAGCTAGACCTGGATTCCCATCCTCTGTGTGCTCTGACTAGCTGTGAGAACTTGGGCAGGCTGCAAGCTGCCTACCCTTCTGCAGATCCTCTTTTTTTTTTTTTTTTTTTTTGGCGACAAGAGTCTAGCTTGGTTGCCCTGGCTAGAGTACCATGCGCATCAGCCTAGCTCACACCAACCTCAAACTCTTGGGCTCAAGCCATCCTTCTGCCTTAGCCTCCTGAGTAGCTGGGACTACAGGTGCACACTGCTACGCCTGGTAATTTTTCTATGTTTAGTTAAAGATGGGGTTTCCCTCTTGCTCAGCCTGGTCCTTCAAATCCTGACCTCAAGTGAGCCTCTTTCCTAGGACTCCAGATGGCTAGGATTATGGGCGTGAGCCACTGTGCCTGGATGGTCCTTCTTTTCTTTTTTTTTTTTTTTTTTTTAAACCATCTCTTTTTTCTTATCAGTAAGATGTATCTAATTGTGCATGGCTAGCGGGAGTGCTGTGAAGGTAACATGCGTGGCAGGTCTGGCACACAGTGGGTGTGCGATCAGTACTAGTGCCCTCCTTCCCCTTCCTGTCACTGTCATTGTTGCTGTCTTCTTACCAAGACCGTCTGCAAGTGCCAAATGTGAGTGAGGTGCTTTTTCCCTTTCCCCACATCTTTATAGGACTATAGAGGGTCACCCTTGAAGTAGCATAGCCTGGGAGACAGGACGTCAGGATGTGGCTGGATGGGACTCTCGGTCACTCATGGTGGTGACAGCAGTTTGGAGGGCAGTTTATCAGGACTATTTAAAATGAAATACACAAATGCCTGGGCCCAGCCTTCCCCACTGTGTATCCTACAGAAACACTGAGCAACTGCACAAATGGACACTGAGCAGCCAGTACAGGGATGGGCATCTGAGCAGTTTTTCACAGGGAAAAATTGAACACAGTGCAGAAACACACTTAAAAATAGCGCTCTAGGCCAGGTGCAAGGCTCATGGCTATAATCCCAGCACTTTGGGAGGC